TTTCCCTTTTAATATTTATTTATTTTTATTTCTTTATTTTCTTTATCTTTTTGACTGTGTCAGGTCTTAGTTTCAGCACGCAGGATCTTCATTGAGGCAAGCGGGATCTTTCATTGTGGTGCGCGGGCTCTTCTTGTGGCACGCGGGCTTCTCTCTAGTTGTGGCGTGCAGGTTCCAGGGCGTGTGGGCTCTGTAACTGTGGTGCGCGGGCTCCAGAGCACATGGGCTCTGTAGTTCACAGTATGCGGGCTCTCTTGTTGAGACGCATGAGCTCAGTAGTTGTGGCACGGGCTTAGTTGCTCCACGGCATGTGGGATCTTAGTTCCCTGAACCAGGGATTGAACCCGTGTCCCCTGCATTGGAAGGTGGTTTCTTTACCACTGGACCACCAGGGAAATCCCTCTCTTTTCCTTTTAGATGATTACCTTTTCATGGGTGTCCCAGACATATTTGGAGTACAGGTAGATTCCAGATGAGAAGGTAATTATTGAAGAAATCAGGGATCTGCTGGAGAATCTTTATTGCTAGCATTCCAGGAACTGTTGGAATATCTGAAAGTTCTTTCTACTCTCAGCAACAGAACTCACAGTTGTTATGTAAGTGGAAAGATTATATTCTCTTAGAAATAGAAGAAAACATAGTTTTTACCTATTTTTCTAGAGAACACTTTGTGGTTGGCTACCATAAGCTTTCCAGCTAAATAGCAACATTTTGGGGAAAGCCCCACTCTTGTAAATCCCCTTCATTCCCTTGCAAATCTTGTTCAAACTTGTCTAGAGGAGTTTGCTTGAAACAAGTAAGGTGTGGATGCTGAAGTCTACATTTTTCCCCCAAGTCTTTTTGGCCTTACTTCCTCCTTCTATCAGGAAGTTCCATCAATTACTACCCTTTCAGATTTTCTTATGGTTTGCTTCAGATACTTTCACTATAGATGTATTTCCTCCAACTCCCCCTTTTTTTTCATTTATGTTGTCCAATTTGTCTGAATTATTGGTGAGATAAATTATATCCCTAAAAAAATGCAAAACGGCTATGTAACACTTTATGAGTATGAAAAATACATATAAGCAAAGAACTATTTTAAGCAATAGTAAAATACCTTATATAATTCACTCTTCCACATTTTCTAATTTGCCAAAAGGGAAATTGGCCTTAGGTCCCTTGGCTTAAAACCCAACAGTCTGACTTATTAAAATCATTTTCTACACTAATAGCAAACACCACATACGAATTGTTTTCCTGTGCTGCCTCCTAGAGCAGGGTAGACGAACAGAGGTGGGATTATTTGGAACCAGGATGACAAAATCTCTTGCCTTAGTCCACTAACATAGCATCAAAGGACAGTCCAGTCTGTGAAATCTTGACCTTGTTCCCTATACCTTAGGAAGGATTTTGTTCAGTTGGTAAGTTGTTTGTTTCTCAGTTCATCGAGGGCAAGGGGGCCAGTCAAGGTAGCAGTTGGCAGCAGCTGCTAAAATCAACAGCTGGTAGATTAAAACTGAGTAAGAACATATTCCACAATTTCACAGTAGCTTTAAAAAGCAAAAATCTCTCCTCCAAAGGCCAAGTTCTCTCTGCATTGTCTCAGTACCTAAGGACTGTGTCAAAGCCAGGAGGAATGGTATGTTCCAACAATTACCAAGGTGACTGCCTATCACCAAACATACACAACTCTCAGCATGTCCTAATTCCATGTGCATCGTGTTTAGCAGAGGAGACAATAGCACATAATCACTTGTCCTAGAAGCTGCAAACCCTGATGGTTGTAAATGACTAAGGCTGAATCTGGTCAGAGTTAGATCCTGAGAAGGTGGAGTTTCCAAGCACACAGAGGCTGGGGGGAGATATTTCAGTTAGCCACCCGGAAAAACAGTTTCTCAGGCAGATGTGTTAAGGGTCGGCATCTTACAAGTAGTGGTCCTAACAGGTTGGACGAGGCGGCAATTCTGGAGTGCCAGAAGAACTTTGCCAAAGAAAATCATGTCACCTCTAGTGGTGACAGTACTGAAATTTTTTTTTTTTTTTTTGCGGTACACGGGCCTCTCACTCTTGTGGCCTCTCCCATTGTGGAGCACAGGCTCCGGACTCACAGGCTCAGTGGCCATGGCTCACGGGCCTAGCCGCTCCGCGGCATGTGGGATCTTCCCAGACCAGGGCACGAACCTGTGTCCCCTGCATTGGCAGGTGGACTCTCAACCACTGCGCCACCAGGGAAGCCATGAAGTTTTTATTTTTTATTTTCTTAATTTATTTATTTTATTTTTGGCTGCATTGGATCTTGTTGCTGTGCACAGGCTTTCTCTAGTTGCGGTGAGCAGGGCTACTCGTCGTTGCGGTGCGTGGGCTTCTCATTGCGGTGGCTTCTCCTGTTGCGGAGCATGGGCTCTAGGCACAAGTTGTGGCTTGCGGGTTCTAGACTACAGGCTCAGTAGTTGTGATGCACAGGCTTAGTTGCTCTGTGGCATGTGGGATCTTCCCGGACCAGGGCTCAAACCCATGTCCTCTGCATTGGCAGGCAGATTCCTTTTGTTTGTTTGTGTGTTAGTTTCTGCTCTATAACAAACTGAATCAGCTATACATATACATATATCTCCATATCTCCTCCCTGTTGCATGTCCCTCCCACCCTCCCTATCCCACCCCTCTAGGTGGTCACAAAGCACCGAGCTGATCTCCCTGTGCTATATGGCTGCTTCCCACTAGCTATCTATTTTACATTTGGTAGTGTATATATGTCCATGCCACTCTCTCACTTCGTCCCAGCTTACCCTTCCCCCTCCCCATGTCCACAAGTCCATTCTCTACATCTGAGTCTTTATTCCTGTCCTACACCTAGGTTCTTCAGAACCATGTTTTTTTTTTTAGATTCCATATATATGTGTTAGCATACCGTATATGTTTTTCTCTTTCTGACTTACTTCACTCTGTATGACAGACTCTAGGTCCATCCACCTCATGACAAATAACTCAATTTTGTTTCTTTTTATGGCTGAGTAATACTCCATTGTATATATGTGCCACACCTTCTTTATCCATTCATCTGTTGATGGACACTTAGGTTGCTTCCAAGTCCTGGCTATTGTAAATAGAGCTCGCAGGCTAATTCTTAACCACTGTGCCACCAGGGAAGCTCTGAAGTTTTTAATAGTGGAAAATGTGAATCTAAACTTGAAGACCTTGACGCCTCCCAGTCGTGAGCGTCACAGGATGACTTCTTCTGCAGCAGGCAGAAGGCTGTGTGGGTCATCATTCAGGTTTTCAGGCTTGATAGGATAGCCTCTCATGTGTATGAGTGGATAGCAGTTCAACACAGTGGTTTCCAAAATCGAATGCCTCCTCACTTCTGTATGTGTATTTAATACAGGGATCTGCAAACTATGGCCTGGTTTTGTACTGTCTGGTAGCTTAGAATCCTTTTTACATTTTTAAAGGATTGTGAAAAAAGAAAAGTTAAATATGCTATAGACCCCATATTTGGCCTGCAATAACTAAAATATTTAATGTCTGGCCGTTTATAGAAAGTTTGCCAATCCCTGGTTCAGTATATGTTCATGTAGTCTGTGTTACATGATTGTATAATTTATCATATAGTTTCATAGAACCTGTTTTTTTCTCAAAAATTTAATGGAATTGTCTTATTAATATTTTAAGTATGAATTGACATCAACCTCCTACAAATTTTCCTTCCGTTTTGAATTCCACTTCTGACAGTGTGTCAGCCTAGATAATCTAAAATAGTGTCTTCAAAACACCTAGAAGGGGGCTTCCCTGGTGGCGCAGTGGTTGAGAGTCCGCCTGCGGATGCAGGGAACATGGGTTCGTGCCCCAGTCCGGGAAGATCCCACATGCCACGGAGCAGCTGGGCCCGTGAGCCATGGCCGCTGAGCCTGCGCGTCCAAAACACCTAGAAGTACTGGCTAAAAAGGAGAAACCATTGCAGGACTTCCCTGGTGGTGCAGCAGTTAAGAATCCGGCTGCCAGTGCAGGGGACATGGGTTTAATCCGTGGTCTGGGAAGATCCCACATGCCACAGAGCAGCTAAGCCTATGTGCTACAACTACGGAATCCTGTGCGCCTAGAGCCCGTGCTCTGCAACAAAGAGTAGCCACCGCAATGAGAAGCCTGTGCATCTCAGCAAAGAGTGGCCCCTGCCTGCCGCAACTAGAGAAAGCCCACACGCAGCAACGTAGACCCAATGCAGCCAAAAATAAATAAATAAAATAAATAAATTTGGGGCTTCCCTCATGGTGCAGTGGTTGAGAATCCGCCTGCCGGTGCAGCAGGCACAGGTTCCATCCCTGGTCCAGGAAGATCCTGCATGCTGCGGAGCAGCTAAGCCCATGCGCCACAACTACTGAGCCTGCTCTCTAGAGCCCATGAGCCACAACTAAGCCTGTGCTCCGCAACAAGAGAAGCCACCACAATGAGAAGCCTGTGTACTGCAACGAAGAGTAGCCCCCGCTTGCTGCAACCAGAGAAAAGCCTGTGCACAGCAGTGAAGACCCAACGCCAGAAACAATAAATAAATTAAATAAGAATAAATAAAAATTTTAAGATAAATAAATTTATTTTAAAAAATGGATCAACCATCCCTTTAAATGGAAAGCTTAGCTGTCAAGAACGTGAGGGAAATCCCCAGGTCATTAACCCTCTGACCAGTGCTATGACAGCCTTGCAGGGGCATGGTTGGTTTTGGTGACATAAAGGAACTTCTAAGGATTTCTTCAGGAAGAGGAAAACTGAAACTAAAAGGAAGGGATGGTATACAAGGATTCATGAGAAAAAATTATCCCCTTGCTTCCTAAGGAAGCATGGACTTTATAAGACAGTAATCATCTTAATAATGGCTAATTGAGGTTATTAAGATAAAATGGTGCCAAATCCTGGAAAACAACATGAAAGAAGGGAGAAAATAAAGAATTCAACCATACTAGTAAGATCCATTTATTGTTCAGAGGAAGCTTAAAGTAAGTAAAGTTTGCTTATTAAAATATTAAGAAAAATATTTTTAAGGAACATAAGGAGAAGGTGTAAATTCGAAACAGGTAGAAGGGGGAGGAAAGTGAATTATGATCATTACAGTAAAAAGTACGAAAGGAATATATATGAAAAAAAAGTATAATTATAGCACAAAATAATAAAGTAGAAACAAGTCCAAGTACATTGGTAATCATGGTCAATGAAAGTGATCTAAACTTCCTAGGGAAAAGTCAGAGATTATCAGTATGCCTTTTTAAGAAAAATTCAGTAATATACTATCTACGAGAGGTCCTCCAAAGATGTAAGGTACACAGGAAAAGACAAATGAGACAGATACTAAGGGGAAGAAATGCTGCTCTATTTATGTATACATTATTTATATTTAAGGCAGAAAATATTATTAAGGATGGAGCTTTACTTCATAATGATAAAAGGAACAACTCAGGAAAATAAAAAATTTCTAAACTTGTATATGCCCAGTAATGTAGCATAATAATAAACAAAGCAAAAAGTGGCATATTTTCAGGGAGAGATTGATAAATGGTCGCATGTATTGTACATGGAGATTTTTAATATAACATTTAATAATTTATGTGTCAAGAAGATAAGCAACTATAAGATTTGAGTAACATAATTGAAAACTTGTTCTAATGTGCATGAAAGTGCACACGACAATAAGCGAATGCACATAATTTTCAAGCTTATATGAAACTTTTGTGAAGTTGACTTATATTTGCCACAAAAAAATGTTTCAATAATTTTTCAAGTATACGTTGTCTAACGGTGGTGCAATTCCATTAAAAATTAAGAGTGAGACATAGTTTAAAAAAATCATTATGTTAATCAGTAGACACATTTCTAAATAATTCATGGGTCAAAGAGGAATTTAAAAAAATTTTATTATGGGAAATGCGAAACATATACAAAAAATATATTGTTGTAAGGTTATTATATTTGCAATGCAGGATGTGGAAAACAGGAAGTAGAAATTGGAAATGTCCGGTTTGAATTGATGAGGGATAAATATATATATGTATTTTTGGCTACACTGTGAGGCTTGAGGGATATTAGTTCCCCGACCAGGGATTGAACCCAGGCCCTCAGCAGTGAGAGCTCAGAGTCCTAACCACTGGACCGCCAGGGGATTCCAGATAAGGGATAAATATTAAGGGTCAGGCATGAAGAGGTGTAATATAGATTGTAAATAGCCTTTAAAAAGTTAAGGATGTGTGTTGCTATTCCTAGCAATCACGAAAAGAACAGTAATGAAGCAATATAAGTAAGAAGCTGATAGAGGATATAAAATAGAATACTAAAATGTATTTGATTAGCTGAAAAGAAAGCAAGGAGGGAGCAGTAGAGGACCACAAACACAGAAGGGGCAAGTAGAAAACAAATAGCAGGGTGAGAGTTGCAAACTCAGCCAAGGCAACAATAAGGCTAAATGTAAATGGTCTGAGTTCCTGAGTATACAGGGCAGAGATTGTCAAAGTGGATAAAAAAGCAAGGCCTAACTATATATTGTCTACAAAAGATGTGTTACAATGAAAAGACACAGGTACTTGAAAGTAGAGGGATAGAAAAAGATATGGCATACAAATAGTAAGCATAAGAAAACTGGCTTGATTGTATTAACGTTAGAAAAATAAGATTTCAAAACAAAGACTGATCTTCCTAGAAGTCTTTTTGCCTCATATTTTCCTGACTGTTGTCTTCTCATATTTTTTTAATTAAAAAAATTTATTTATTTATTTTTGGCTGCGTTGGGTCTTCGTTGCTGCGCACAGCCTTTCTCTAGTTGTGGCGAGCAGGGGCTACTCTTCATTGTGGTACATGGGCTTCTCAGTGACTTCTTTTTTTTTTTTTTTTTTTTTTTTTTTTTTTTTTTTGGGGGTTGGGGCTCAAGGCATGGTGTTTTTTGTTTTTTTTTTTGTTTTTTTGTCACCCCCACAAACACACCCACGGTATGCGGGCCTCTTACTGTTGTGGCCTCTCCCATCGTGGAGCACAGGCTCCGCGGCCATGGCTCACGGGCCCAGCCGCTCCGCGGCACGTGGGATCTTCCTGGACCGGGGCACAAACCCATGTCGCCTGCATCGGCAGGCAGACTCTCAACCACTGCGCCACCAGGGAAGCCCTTAATTTTTTTTATTGGGGTATAGTTGTTTTACAGTGTTGTGTTAGTTTCTACTGTAACGTCTTCTGTATAGTCTTAACTTAAACATTACTCTGGCTAAGACGCCTTCTCTCACCCAAGATCCTGTCCTGTGGGCTCAAATTGAAATCATTGTAATATTTTGTAATATTACATCATTGTAATATTTATTCCACTATTTTAAGTATTTATCTGTCTCCTCTACATTTTAAATACTTTTCTGTCTGTAAGATCTGTGAGGGAAGGGACTGTGTCTATAGTTTTTTTTTTTTCAATCATTCTAATCTAGCACTTAGCATAGTGCCTGATGCATCTAAGTTTCAATAGATACTTCTTGAATGAATTTAATATATTAATGAACAATGTAATGAACCATTGAGTAAGAAATGTGTTAAAACACTATAGGTTATATGAAGCAATGTTTATAACTGTGCAAAATAGTATCAAAAGAGTTTAAAAAGCTATCAGAAAGTTAGAAAAATCAAAAAGCATATTTTTTTAAAATGTCATGAATGATTTTCCATTTTTCTACCATAGACCTGAATTGGTAGTTAAGAAGCTACGATACTATGCAAGATTTATAGTAGTTTGTCTTCTTCTCAACAAAATGGATGTTGTAAAGGATCTGGTGAAGGTAAATGTACTTTAAAATAATTAAAATCCTAATCTCTCATTGTCTGTGGATAATTTTGTTTTTTAAAAATAGATTTAAGGTTAAAATAATTTTGATATATCTAAATCATTACAACTTTGAGAGTATGGTAACTTATGATAAGGGTAATGGTAAAAAATTTTTCCAACTCTTCATATTTCAAATACACCAGAGATAATTGTCTTAATTTCTTACTTTTGTCCCCTCAGTTTATTTTACATTTCATCACCCATCAATGAATGGTTGGCAAATGCAAACAAAAGTTAAAATATTTGGTTTAAGAAAATAATTGAAAAGTTAGGTCAAGAAAAATGTTTTACGAAGGTGTGAATGAGTTTTGATTTTTCCTCCCTTTAGTATGTCTGCATCACTCTATCCTTCATTACCTTGGGTAATTAAGAGTTAGCTGCATTCTAGATTCACTTAATATCTGTAATTATTGCATGCTACATTCTGGTTACACTCTGTATTCAGTTAGTGGTTTCAATGGCATACTTCTTGATTTTTTGGTGCTCGAGTATAACATGCTAGTTTTTGCTTTTTTTTTTTTTATTGAAGTATAGTTAATTTACAGTATTGTGTTATTTTCAGGTGTACAGCAAAGTGATTCAGTATAACATGCTAGTTTTGACAAGCCTTCTTCCTCCATCCCCAGTTACTAATAAGATTATTTCCAAAAGAAATAGTATGATATAAATACAAAGAATTTATATTTATTTTTTTTAATGTTAAAATTTGGGGGGTTTACCTTTAAGAGTTTCCTGTTAATAAAGTCATTGCTGATGTAGCACTGAGTAGGTATGGGTCACTGTGGATTTCTATGAAGATCTTATTGATGTGTTATCATTTTGGAGTTTTTGATTTTGAAGCAAGCCCATGTAATTTTCACTCTGTTTTGGTTATAACTGGGACCGTATATTGATAATAATCAAACTTCTTAACTGTATCAGTTTCTGTCAGGAGTATGGTACAATATACAATGTATTTTTATGGTTTTTTTCTATAACCATTTCTCTTCGTGATATTGTAAAATCAGGAACTCTCGGATGAAATTGAAGATTATACTCACCGCTTTAATACTGAAGATCAAGTGGAATGGAACCTGGTGCTTCAAGAAGTAGCAGCTTTCATTGAGGTCAGTTCTTGACAAGAAAGGTTGTCCTAATTACGTATGTAAATGCATATGTGGTATACTTTTTTACTATGTGTATATGTCAAAAAGAAGGAATAACTTCTTATATTGACATTTTGTCTTGGCCATCAACCACTTACTGCTTTTTCTCCAGGCAGACCCTGTGATGGTATTAAATGATGATAATACCATTGTTATCACGTCTAATCGCCTAGCTGAAACAGGAGCCCCATTGCTGGAACAGGGCATGATTGTGGGACAGTTGTCTCTGGCTGATGCACTCATTATTGGTAATTGTAATAACCAGGTAAAGAATTGTGAAGGAATTATGCTTAAAATTCACTTTGAAAAATAGTACTTTTGATTGTTACAGAATTATTTCATTGTAAATATCCTAACATCCATTTGCTAGGAAATAGTTAATTAAATTATGCTGTGTCTATATATGGACTGTACTATAGACATTTAAATGGTTTAGAAAGAATTTTTAATCACAGAAGATACTTATGATATGGCAAGTGAAAATAATATGGACCTATGTAAACAGAATTATTTTATTGTATATGTTAAAATGTCTACGTATAATACATATATGCACAAGAAAAAGACAAGGAAGAAATTTACCAATATCATAAAAGATTTATCTCTAAAAAATTTAGCAAAATTTTAAGTGATTTTTATTTTCTTCCTTACAACTTTCTACATCTGTATATTGCCTTTACAATCAGGCAAAAATGGGGGAGGGGTTATTTTTAAGTACATTTGTCAAAAGCAAATTTCAGATATTTTTTCATGACAGAATAGTCCCATGACAATGAGGATTTAAGGCACTAGAACTGTAATTTACTGAAAATTATGGGATATTGGAAAAGTCACCAGTTGGATACACTTTTCTATATGTATTACTTACACAAGTTTTAATTTTGGATCCTTCCCTTACATCTATCATTTTTGTTGTTGTTAACTTTTTCTTATAATTCTCCAATTTTGGATTTTAAAGCTTTAATTTGCAAATTTCTAAATTAAAACCTTGCCTACATGAAGTTCTGTAGAAGTATTATTCAAAATAGAAAAGGAGGGGACTTCCCTGGTGGTCCAGTGGTAAAGAATCTGCCTTACAATGCAGATGACTTGGGTTCAATCCCTAGTCGGGGAACTAAGATCCCACATGCCACAGAGCAACTAAGCCCAGCGCGCCAAAACGACTGAGCTCGCGTGCCTCACCGAGAGAGCCTGCGTGCCGGAAACTATAGAGCCCACGCGCCCCAGATCCCGCGCGCCACAACTAGAGAAGAGAAAACCTGCACGTCACAGCTAGAGAGAAACCGGCACACTGCAGTGTGTGTGCGGAGCCTGCATGCCACAACTGAGACCCGACGCAGCCAAAAATAAATAAAAAATAAGTTGTTAAAAACAAAACAAAAAAACAAAATAGAAAAGGATACAGTCTTTTCTCTTTTTCTTTTTTTTTGCCGTGCCACGCGGCTTGTGGGGTCTTAGTTCCCCAACCCAGGGCCCCGGCAGTCAGAGCTCCATGTCCTAACCACTGGACCTCCAGGCAATTCTCAGGATTCAACCTTAAACATTATGTAGTGCAAAAATGTAATGAAGTGATTTTAAAATGGGCCATAGTCATATTTCAGCCTGGCTGGTTTGCCAAAAGTTAACATGTTTTATGGGATCTAATATAGGTCTCTGTGTTTACGTGACTACTTTTTGTTTTTAAAAATACCTATGGAAATTGATGGATTGATAGAAGTATTGATAGATGGAGCGAGACGTGATGAAGCAAATATAGAAAAATGTTGATGTTATAGGATCAAGCTATTGAGCATAAGGGTGTCACTGCACAATTTTTTTAACTTTCTGTCTTTTGAAATTTTTTGGAATAAAATATCCAATGTCATCAGGTACACACGAAAGTCAAGAGTAACAATATGATTAAACACTTCAAGGTCTGCGTACTGCATTAACGGTCAGGTTTGTTTTCCTTGCAGGTTAAGTTCAGTGAACTAACTGTTGACATGTTCCGGATGTTACAAGCCCTGGAAAGGGAGCCAATGAATTTAGCTTCCCAGATGAATAAACCAGGAATGCAGGTGACCTTCTCCCTACATCTGCAATTTGCTGCTTCTGCTCCTCATGGAATGCTATTATTCAGCGAAAGCCATGAGTGTGAATAAAGAATTCTCCTGATGAGACGCAGGAGAAATACATAAGCATAATGCTAATTAAAAAAAGATATTTAATGAAAAGGATAGTAAAAATAGGCATTGATAATTCATATGTCAACTACAGTTGGTATAGTCATCCGTCTGTATCCACAGGGGATTGGTTCCAGGACCCCCGTGGATAAACCCTCAGATGCTCAGGTCCCTTATTTAAAGTGGTATAGTGTTTACATACAACCTATGCACATCCTCTCGTATGCTTTGAATCATTTCTAGATTACTTATAACATCTAATAGAATGTAAATTATATGTAAATAGTTGTAAATACAATGTAAATGTTATGTAAATAGTTGCTGGTGCACAGCAAATTCAAGTTTTGCTTTTTGGAACTTTCTAGAATTTTTTTTCTAAATGTTTTTGATCCGTGGTTGGGTGAATCCACGGATGCAGAGGACCGACTGTATGTGCATTGTTTTCTGTGTGTAAATATAGGAATCAGCTGACAAGCCTACCAGGCGAGAAAACCCCCACAAGTACCTGCTCTACAAACCAACGTTCAGCCAACTATACACATTCTTAGCAGCATCTTTTAAGGTATCTATCATCCAGTACTTTTTAGTATATGGGGAAAGTGTGCCTTAAATGGAATCTGAGAGTCACTCTTCTCTTTGAATATTTGAGTCAAGAATTTAGGAAAAATATGAAAATGAAAACTGCCTTAGAATATCCTAATCATAGCTATTTTTGGAATGGAAATTGCTTATTATGTTATGAATGTTCCCTACCATTAATTAATGAGAATATTGATTAATTTTCATTCTCCTTTCTCCGGGTTTTTCTTGCTAAACTGCTTTAGGCATAATAGTCAATGCAGAACTGAAAAACAGGAGCAGATTTTATAGGCGTGTTCTATAAATAGAACAGCCACCTGAATGGTGGTTCTGGGAAACATTTTGGTCGTCTGAAAGAACCATGAGTAGGGAATTCCTCTCAGTTTATATAGAGAAAGGCACGGATGGAAGTTTGTCTTTTAGACCCATAGTCAGGATCTTTACTTCTCCATCTTAAGTTTTCCAGAGAACGTTCTTTAAATGATGGGGTTTTGAAGCAGAGATTGTCTTCAAAACTTTTGGCAATAGTTATAGGTTAATAATGAATCTTTGCTGTGTAGACAGTTATAAGTTGGAACTAGCAAGAGTGACTTTTCTCTTGGAGGAGACCATTATATGTTAAATTAGGTTCTTGTTTTCCCTTCAACTTTAAAATGTCATGAACTTTCAATAAAACTGTTGTTTTCTGTTTGTCATTTTGTATATGTGATTTTCTTTAATTTCAGGAGCTGCCTGCCAATAGTGTCCTTCTGATTTACCTGTCAGCCACTGGTGTTTTCCCCACAGGTCGTTCTGATAGTGAAGGTACAATAAAGGAATGCTCCCTGTCGTGAGCAGGACTTGAATTCTCTTTATTTTCTACAAGGCGATGGCCCATAGCCCACAATCTCAGGCTTTCTAGAGAGGCTCCCAAATTTGAAACCTGGTCTATTTGCTGAATCGGCAATCTTGTAGATACCCCAGTCTGTTTTATTTGCTGAAATATTATATGGTAAAGTTAAAAAAAATCAGCAAATTCACATACTACATGCATGCCTCTCTAACCGATTTGCCAAAAGCAAACATATATGTGCATGGAATAACCGAGCCTAATTATCTACTTCACATCGTTGAATTTTTCTGAGCCTTTAGTGTGTTAGGGAATCTGGTCAGCGGCTTCACTGTGGCTGAAAGTCTTGTAGAAATCAGTGCACTTTTGTAACTGTGAAAGTTCAAGTCCTTGATATGATTTTATTTTGTGTCCTTTCTTTGGTTTTATGGATTCAATCTGTAGAATATTGGGATGCTATTTTAGAATAAAAACTTGAAGCTGTCCAGAACATGTGAGTCCAGAATATATGAAATTGGTTGAAATAGATGAGTAGCTTGGATGTAAACAAGGCAATTAAATCTTTACCTGGACAAAAAAAAATTGTTCTTAACATCCTTAACATTTTCCTCCTCATTTGTTTGTTGAAATTTGCATTCCTTTATACAGTGCATGTCCCTGCCATCTTCCTTGCATGACCTACAGATCCTCTTAAAGTGTTAAAATGAAAACAAAACAAAATAAATCTCTCTTCATTGCAGTGATTTTTTTAAGGGATAAAATATAACACTTACTATTAAAAGTGATGCAAAATCAGGGCTTCCCTGGTGGCGCAGTGGTTGAGAGTCTGCCTGCCGATGCAGGGGACACGGGTTCGTGCCCCGGTCCGGGAAGATCCCACATGCCGCGGAGCAGCTGGGCCCGTGAGCCATGGCTGCTGAGCCTGTGCGTCCGGAGCCTGTTCTCTGCAGTGGGAGAGGCCACAACAGTGAGAGGCCTGCGTACCGCAAAAAAAAAAAAAAAGTGATGCAAAATCATAAATACTTTAATTTTTTGGTGATAAAGTTAGTACTTTTATTTATAAATAATTATTTCCGTATCTTATACACTATTGAATCAGATTTTCTGGGCTCCACCTAATGTATTGATCTCTTGTTTTACTTTTTTCAAAGTACAGTAGTTACTAACTGAATGGTCCTTTGAGAGAGATTATTCCTAACATCCCACAGTTGCTGTTCCATTTACACAAGAGTTTATTTAACTAACTGATAGGACCAGTGGGAAAAGGCTAATTCCCAAACCGGAATTACAGTGGTTGATGTAATAATAATGATAATGGATTTTTTCCTACACTGGTATTTGGTAATTCTTTTCTTAAAAATGAAGTTTTTGTCAGTGAGAATTTTCAAGTTCCATTCAAAAATTTCCCTACATTTTACAATTAGTGGCCCTCTTAAAATTATATTTAAGAAATTATTAGGACTTCATTCTGCAACTTTCTTACTTAAATAATTTTGTTGAACTTGAGATTTTAGTTTTGCTTGAAATGAGAAGATCATTTTGAACATCCCAGATCTCCATCTCTTTTTTACCCAGAAAAATGGGATGCAGTAGATTCTTGTTTTGTTTCTCATTATAATCTGAAGAACTGATGAAGATGGTCAGATGATCTTTTAAAATATTGGAACAGGCAACATGCTGAAATCATTTAAATGCTATGTTAAACTAAAATGTTAAATTTTCAATTAATAAAAATGTTTTGTAATTGTCTTCCATTTGTATCAATGAAAGATTCACCCAACACCTTTGTGTTTGAACATCAGATCAATGCTACTCTCCAATTGAAGTCTAGGATTCTTCCCTTTCTTTTTATAGGTCCTTATGATTTTGGAGGGGTACTTACTAACAGTAACCGGGATATTATAAATGGAGATGCCATCCACAAACGAAATCAGTCCCACAAGGAAATGCACTGGTATGTATTATAAAAATTATAGTTCTCTCTTATAAAATATTAAGTAAAATGGAATGTTCCCTTAGACTGCTATTCATAACACTTATTTGGATTCCAGCAATATCTCAGGCTCTGACTATCTTAGGCAATTAGAATTGTTGGTTAATATTTATTTTACAATTTTTTATTGAGTATGTATTATATGTCAGGAACTATTCAATCACTGGACATCTGTTCATTCAAGTTGGAGGAGACAATAAATATATACATAAATAATAAGTCAGGACATGATGCATGTTAATATCAAAATAAGCTTTTTAAAATTAATTAATTTTATTTTTGGCTGTGTTGGGCTTTGTTGCTGCGCACGGGCTTTTCTCTAGTTGCGGCGAGAGGGGCTACTCTTTGTTGTGTTGCGTGGGCTTCTCATTGCAGTGGCTTCTTTTGTTGCGGAGCACAGGCTCTAGGTGCACGGGCTTCAGTAGTTGTGGCACACAGGCTCAGTAGTTGTGGCTCGCAGGCTCTAGAGTGCAGGCTCAGTAGTTGTGGTGCACGGGCTTAGTTGCTCTGCGGCATGTGGGATCTTCCCGGACCAGGGCTCGAACCCATGTCCCCTGCATTGGCAGGCGGATTCTTAACCCTGTGCCACCAGGGAAGCCCAATATAAGCTTTTTTTTTTCCCCCAATGTAAGCTTTTTAATATAAGGTTATGTTGGTGTGATATAGCAAAAATGAAGTTAGCTGTATGATTTCAAGGAGATTTCATCCATGAAAGTTTGCTCAGTGCATTCACTGGTTGGGCCATTATGGGCTCTAAAATTTCCCTAGCTGAGAGAGAGCAGTCTCATTATAGAGGAAACTGGACTTGCTTGAAACTGCATTTCTAATAGCACTTTACATAAAAATATAACTCTTCATATCAAAGAGTGGGGAAGGGAGGGCAGAGGGAAATGTTTCAAATTACACGTATAATAGCTAATGGTCCCCAAGCCATGTGTTGGTGCTATAGTTGACCATAGTTGTAAATGATTTATATCAGAAAAACTTGTATTGAAATATATTGGGGTTTGATGATATTGCTCATTGACAACATCATTTTGTATATTTACATTAATATTTATAAATTACCCACATTGTCCACCAACCATGGGAAAGAGCATGCACACCAAAATTGTGACCTTAAGCAGTGGCTCTCAAATGCATGTTACTGGACTTTAGCCTTCTGTGGGCCACAGTGAATCTGTATCTTTAACAATCACCCCAGCTGATTCTGATGCACATGTCCAGAGGAAATGTAGATTATAGAAAGGGAGCCCCTGCTTATTGTCTGCAATATTAAGATATAGCTTAAAATAATAAAAATGTTTAAAATGGATATGGATTTTGAAAGATTCATTGAAATAGAAATCTGGTTGTGTTTTTACATCTTGTTTTCAGAACATGTTCTTAGGAGGAACTTTTAAATACTAAGTAAGTCCCTAAATGCTGACTTCTCAGATTTTCATGTGTATTTATTAATCCATCTTTAAATATATTAATATATATATTAAATATATAGACTTCTCTTTAGCTTGAATATTCTTGAATAATAATTATGTTTGAATTTTTTTTTCCCAAATAAAACTGTTAACTTGTCTACCCCTACTATACAAACTTTTTTGGCCTTTTACTTAATTAATCTTTGTTTTTCTCCCAGTGCTGTAACAAAAAGGAGATGTGAGCAGACCAAACTGATGAACAAGATTTCTGAGACTTGGCTGATAAAGTTATACAGTCATTCATTGTTACTCTTGTTTTCCCAGCCTTCATCCTGGAGATCTCTATCCTTTCACAAGGAAGCCCCTGTTCATCATTGTGGATTCATCCAATAGTGTTGCGTATAAGGTGAGTTCCATGAGTGCTATTCCACGTTAGGCACTATGGCACCACCCTGAGGTAACCAATCTGAACATGTGCCTTTTTATTTTGCTTTATTTTATTTAATTTTACACAGTTTGTATTTAGTCTTTCTTTTCTTTTGAGGTTGTGCATGCTAGTCAGGATCTGGTGCTATGAATAGAAACAAGAAGAAAACGCATGAATGGACACTCAGTGGAAAATAATAAATCCTCCTGCAGGAAAAAAAATTCAAGATTTCCAAGATCACTGGTGGGAGGTTTATTTTTGTTATATAACCCAGAATAGTTTTCTTTTATAGAGGTTGAAGTATATGGGAACATTTTATTTTCTAGTTTTCAAACTTTTTCCCCTCTATACACTGAGCTACTATAGTTTAAGTGGAATTTCTATCCCATGTTATAGAGTTATATTCATTGAATATCAGCACAAATTGTTTTAGATGCACTTATTATTGTTTTTTTTTAATTTGTGACAGTAAGTAAAAAAAGATGACCCTGAATTCTGAAATAAGTAACAGGGACTTAACGTGAAAATCCTTTCTTTTATATTTTGCTATTGAAGCAATGGTTTTCAATTATTGTATAAAGAATGGCAGCAGTGAGACACTTTAAAGTTGGATGTTAGAATTCACACAATAGCAATTTACAGGAAAATGAAAACAGAATTTTTGGAGCCCTTTGTATGTGGTTGGAATATTTCATTAGTGGACAGTATGCTCAGAAATATGCTGGAAACACAGATCTGCCAATTAAAATTATTTCTATTGTGCGTGTTTATATAATTAGATGGGGAAGCAAACGTTAATAGGTTTATTTCAGGAGAGCAATAGAAATGTCTGGTAGCCAAAAAAGCCGACCCCAAGCATATTTTTCCATCTAATTTTCATGCTTAGTTTCACTTTTTAAAGTCGGAATTCCAAGAGCATCCATCCCACCCTACATTGTTCAGCATGTTTCTTGCTACCCATTTTGTCAAGTTTAACGTTACAACTTTTGATTTTTAGGAAAACTAGCTATGTACTCTCTTAAATTGTGAGTGTGCTGTTGTCAGTTTTAATCTTTTTGAGAGGGTGAGAGGCTGCTAAAGGAAAAGGTTTATTGGCTACCCCATTTAAACATAAAATCAGAAGAGTCCAGGCATTTTGTGTCTTCACAGAATTCAGAAAAAGCATTCTGTGCCTTTGTCAATGAAAAGGAAACATTTGCTACAGTTAAACGATGTAAAAGAATGTGTTGATGCACAGTAAGCAAGTGTATTGCTTACTATGATCTAGCATGCATTGACAGTATTTTCACAATCTATTAATTTCTCTCAATTTAATTGGACATTATTTGATACCATCTTTTATAATCTCAAGAATATCATTCATGTTATGTACCTGCTATTTCCAGAGTGTCGTTTGGATGTAGACTGCGTATTGGATGATGATTTTGAAAAAACACCATTGTGCATAATTGGAATTATGTCTCATGATTTAATTCTAAATTTCAATATCCCAACACCCAGGATAACAGTGGAATAATAGAACGATTTCTGTGTGTGTTTGGTGTTGATGGCACATGCAGTATCACTCCTCTAAAAAATTAAATTGTCAAGAACATTCTGATCTTTAGAAATGAAATGGGGAGCCCATGTGCAGTAGGCAAATAAGAGCGTGACATAGACTAATTTGGTCTTTTAAAAAACTAGTTAATGCCTCTGAATCAAGTGTGCAGTTCTCTGTGTTAACATATGAAAGTGTCTGACATTTACTTTTCCCACAAAGCATGTAAAAATTCTTAAACTATCATTTTGCAAGTTTCTAATGAAAAAGAACTGGGTGACATGTATTATTTCTTCAGTACATACGTTGTTATATCCATTTCATCCATATGAATGTTTTATGAACATATATGTGTTTTCTAAATGTTTCTTCTTGTAAATACAAACACTTCATGTTATTTCTTCATTTCAGTATTACTTTTTAATTTTTATGAAAGTAACTCATCCATATAGTTGAAAGCTGTAGTTCTTTCTGTGCATCAGAAACATTCAGAGCCCTCTTCAAAACCACTTGTACCTGGGTCCCAACTCCTGTGATTCTAATTTGCTTGGCCTGGGGTGGGTCTCAGGTATCAGCATAATTCCCTTGTGTGGTCAGGGTGAGATCTACTCAGCCAAGTTCTGCCAGGAGTTACTAACAAGAGCAGTCTCCCGCTCTCATGCCCTACCCCTGTTTGCCTCTTCCCAGAGGCTACCATTTACATCTGTTTTAGTTAATTATTTTGGTATTTAACCATTATTTTTCTAAATCACATGCTGGTATTGATATTTCTTGATTCTTAAAGAAATATCTTTATTTCTTGTATTTCTTAAAATACATGTTTTAAGCAGCATGTGTTGATATCCCATTATGGAAGAAAAATTTAGCTCTCTTTCCCCTTCCTATCCCCATTTCATATTCATACCTTTTATAACTTTTATCCACACAATAGACATATCATAATTTTGATTCACTGAATATTTAGTGCTTATATTATTATGACTATACAATGCTTTTAACATCTAAGCCACATAGTAAACTTTTTCTTTTCTATGCAACTTTCTACTTTTCCTGGAGCAAATAATGTTATCTTGCGCCTGATTCTTTTTTTTTTTTTTTGAACACCTTTATTGAGGTATTTTGGCATACAATATTTAAAGTGTACTGCTCATTAAGGTTTTTTTTAAAATTAATTTATTTATTTATGGCTGTGCTGGGTCTTTGTTTCTGTGTGAGGGCTTTCTCTAGTTGCGGAGAGCGGGGGCCACTCTTCATCGCGGTGCGCGGGCCTCTCTTGTTGCAGAGCACAGGCTCCAGACGCGCAGGCTCAGTAGTTTTGGCTCATGGGCCTAGTTGCTCCGTGGCACGTGGGATCTTCCGGGCCCAGGGCTTGAACCTGTGTCCCCTGCATTGGCAGGCGGATTCTTAACCACTGCGCCACTAGGGAAGCCCCTGCCTGATTCTTTTTTCTGAACTTATCACAGATTCAACCCCAAGCTCCTCACCAGTTGCTTAATCTTCTTTCAGGTTGTTCAGATGCATCATTCTCTTAATTTTATCTTTGGGATGAATTCTCTCCCAAAGCCTCTGGACTGGCGCCCTCTACATGTACTGCACAGCTCTCCTCTCTGAACCTCTTTTCATTATTATTCTGGGAATTCTTCATCTCTCTTCTATATTGGAATCCCTGTTTCCTGAATCCTATGTCTTCTTCTTGGACACTCTCATTTACTCTCTCATTTTGGTTTATTCTCTAATTTTACTGTAGCATCTCCAGCAAAATGGAGCTTTCTGAGAAAGGGTGAATATGAGGTAAAATATTTGAAGTCTTGCACTTCTGCAAATGTTTTTGATTTACCATCACACTTAAATGGTAGTTTTGGTATTGATTAGAAATTATTTCCCTTCAAAATTTGGAAGGCATTGTTCCATTGCTTTCTAGCTTCCAGTATTCCTTAAGAAGTACAAAGCATTCTAATTCTGAGTTCTTTATGTGACTTGTTTTCAGTCCCTGGAAATATATAGGATCTTCTCTTTGTCTCCAGTGTTTTTCAGCTTCTTAACAGAGTGCCCTGGTCTGGGTTTACTTTTTTTTTTTTTTTTTTTTTTCTTGCGTTATGCGGGCCTCTCACTGCCGCGGCCTCTCCCATCCGTGGAGCACAGGCTCCGGAC